TATAATTAATAAACTTTATTTTAATATAAAAATAAAAATTATTTTTTAATAAAATTATAAATTTTAATATAAAAAAAAATTTTAATTTTTACTATATTTTATTAATAAATTTAATTTTTAATATATTACTTTTGATTATTATTATAAATAATTATATTTTTATAATTTTTATAATATTAAATTATTATTTAAAGCTATTTTATTCTTAAATTAAATTAAAATTATTTATTTTTAATTATTTCTTGATAAAAAATTCTTATATATATATAATAAAAAGATTATAAAATTTTTTCAAAAAGAAAAGTTTTTTTAATTCAAGTATAAAAATATTATTAATAATAATTTAATTAGTATTTAAAATTTTTAATAATAATTTAATTAATATTTTTAAACTTATAAATGATTTTTCTTTAAATAATATAAAGAAATAAAAGAAAATTTAATATTATTATTATATATAATATAAAAGATTAAAATATATTAATTATTTAATAATATTACTAAAATATATTTGAAAATTATTATTATTTAAAATAAAGAAATAATTATTAATAATAAATATTATTTAATAGAATTTTAATTATAATATTTATTATTTATTTTATTAATATATAAAATCTTAACTTTTTTAAAAAATTAATATATAAAATTATTAAAATATTACTTAATTAAAAAAAGTAATAGCAATAATAATAAAAATAAAGTAATAGAACTTTTAATAAAAAGAAATTAAAAATATAATAAAATAGAATTAATAATTCTTTTATTTTAGTAAAAAAAGTTAATAATTATTTTGAAATAAAAAAATTATAAGATAAAAAATAAATAAATAAAATGAAAAAGAAATATTTTAATATTTTGAAATCTTTTATATAATTTTATTATTATAAAAAAAATAAAAAAGAAAAAAGACTTAAAAAAGAAATAACTAAATTTTTAAGAGAAAAAGGCAAAACAAAAATATAAAATTAATAAAAAAAGATTTTTGTATTTAAATAAAGTGTAACTTTGTCTAGTCAAGATAAAGTTACAAAAAAAAAGTTCTAAATAATATAATAAATATAAAAATATATGAAATTTTAATAATAAAGTATTTAAAATTCACAAAAATTTATAAATATATTTTTTAAAATATTATAAACAAGATTTTCTAATAATAAAAACATATTAACTTAATAAATTTTTGCAGAATTTTGCATTAAATATACTGAATTAAATATTAATATAAGTTAATTTAAATAATTATTTAAAAATATTTATAATAAGTAAATTTGAAAATAATTTTATAAAAATATATTTTAAGATATAATAAATATATTTTATAAGTTTAAAAATTTAAATTCCAGTTAAAAAAATTTATTTGATAAATTTTATAATATATAATAATAATAAAACTCATTTTTACTATATTTTTTAGAAAAAATAAAGCCTTTTTTTAACTGTTTTTTATTAATAGATGTGCAATAAAAAAATTATTTAAAAATTACAAATATATTTTTTATATCCTAAAATATATTTTTACAAAAATATTTTCAAAATTACTTATTAAAAATATTTTAAATAATTTCTTTTTCAAAGTTATTTCACATAAACATCTAATTCATCACATTAACACAAAATTTCACAAAATTTTATTAAGCTAACATGCCTTGTGTTATTAGAAAATCTTGTTCATAGTATTCTAAAGAATATATCTATAAATTTTGTAAATTTGAGTGCTTTATTATTGAAATATAGATGAAAATATTATACCCCATTACTTTTATTAAGGATTGTATCTCAGATAAACATCAACAAATCATTTTTTAAAATAAAATTTTAATTCTGTCTTATTTAATTAACTTATTAGATATTAGAATTTATTTAAATGTATTTATTTTAATTATATATCTCTTATAAAACTTTTTTGAATTATTATTTCATATATAAAATATACTGTATATAGTAAATAATTTAATTATTAAACTTTAAAACTGAATTTCTTCAAAATACTAATTCAAATATAAGGCAATAATACTTAAAATGTATTTTTTTTCTTTTAACTTTGCACCAGCCCATATTCATCATTATTAAGAGAAAATAATTTAAATTAAGATATGTAAATCGCTATCGTAATCGTTATCGATATTGTACACAAATATTGTCAAATAGGTACGTAATTTACGTAATCGTCACAAATAAAATGCATCAAGCGTTTCTCATAACTTTAAAGCAATATATACTAAAAGATGATTGTGACTTAATAAAAAACGAAATTAATCGTTTTTCACAAGTAAACAATCAAGTGAATATAATAAACAAAAAAGACGAACACTGTGATACACTTATACATTTCGCTGCAAGGCATCATGCAAAAAATGCGTTGAAAATTTTGGTAGAATTTGGTGGTGATGTGGCGAGTGTTAATATTCATGGTGCGTACACTTCAACCAATCTACATGTATTAATAGTATTAAAATATACATAATTATTAGGACGCCAGCCACTCCATGAAGCTATTGAAGATTTAGAATGTGTACAATTTCTGTGCCGACAACCAAATATTGATGTTGATTGTATGAAACGTGGCGGATGGACTCCCTTAATGATTTCATGCAAGTAAACATCTTTCATATTTTTTAATCTTTAAAATTTTCATTCAACATTTTTATTTTCTGAAAAGCAATGAAAGGTCGACTTCAGATAGTAAAAGAATTGATCTCGAAGGGGGCAAATGACAAATTATTAAACAAAGATGGATGGAATAGTCTTCATCTCGCATCAAAAGAAGGTATAAATATAGAGTTTCGTTTGGATTTTTTTATTAGAATTCATTTATTCTTTCTGTACAGGTCATCTAGACGTAGTTAAATTCCTTCACGAAAAATCACCAGAATCCTCCCTTGTACCCAGCAATTCTGGTCGGCTACCAATCCAAACGGCTGCATTATGCAATCATCGTGAAATAGTTTATTATTTCTTGGCTTCATCATCACAAGACTCTATAAAATTCTTGTTATCTGCAAAAGATAATTCTGGACTCAATTTGCTTCAAAACGCTGTAGTTTCTGGAAACCTTGAGCTTGTTCAACGTTTAGTTGTGGAATATGATGTTTCAATTACGGAAAGGGACAAATTAGGACGACAAACGATTCACCATGCTGCGATGACAGGAAATGTTGAGGTGGCTAGATTTTTGATGATTCGTTGTTGTGAGAATGAAAAGAATAAAAATGAGAAGAGGGTAGATTTTATTAACTCTCTCGATGAGTGGGACATGTGGACTCCATTACATTATGCTTCAAAGCAAGGATATGAAGAAATGGTAAAGTTCCTGGTGGAAGAGTGCGGAGCGAAGATAAATCCTAGAGACAAACTTGGAAGGACTCCTTTGGATATTGGCAAGTATTTTTATTTATTGAATTCAGTTATTATTATAAGATAAACTAATTATTTATAAAAAAAGCTCGATTATGGCAAAGAAAAAATATCGTGGAATATTTAGAGCGAATTGAAACAAATGTAAATTTACAAGATCAATAAAATATTCTTTTGCCATTCCTAGTAAATTATTATTTTTCGAGACCTTATAACAATAATTGATCTTAACTGACAAGCCAAACGGAGAAGTTGTCTTACAAACATCATTGATATTTGATTGATCTATATTTTTTTCTCTTCATCTTTTTCTATTGCTTCAGCTTGAGAACTTTGAATAGTGGTTGTGGTTGTGTTTGAGATGCTGATGAAGAGAATAAAGGATTGGATTTCTCAATATTTTCAATTCCCTCAGTCTTAAAATTTTCAGCCAGTGTTGCTGTTGACAATTATTTCTATACTCGGGAACTGTTTCTGAGCACGTGTGATCATCTTATCTATAAACGCAAGATCCGTTCCGTATTCTTATTACATGCACGTGTAGCACCGAATTACCAAATTGCAACATGATGATTAAAGATTTCTTCATGTGTTATTATCGTTATTTTGATCAATAAAAAATGGTGGCGCTTAATTATGTATGATAATCTTTTTGTTTATACAGTATAAAAAAAAGTACGTACATGTATTATTTTTGGCAGTTTTGTCAACAAAAAAATGCGTGAAAATCTATTTTTTGAAAGTTTGTTCGGATTATTGGCGACGTTAATATTGACATTTCAATTACTTCCCCAAGGTACATATTAAATTAGTGTTATTGTTGTTTAGTAATTATTGTCTAAATTATGAAAAATTTGACTCAGTATATAAGAACTGGCGTAGAAAATACACTAAAGGTAATTTTCAATCGATTTCTCAAAATATAAAAATGATGTGATTTTATTGACATTTTTCTCAAAAAATGAAAGGTCTTTCGGCGTCTATGTTATTTATATGGGTATATATTTGGTAGCATTTGTCTTCTATTTTACGTTTATTTATTAAATACTAATTTTTTAGTAATAATTATTTTCAAAGGGTTTATCCTCTTTTATTTTCGGAACATACGCGATCACCGTTGAGCTTGCAATTCCTTTGATAGTCCAACAGGAACTTTATGGAATCTTATGTCTGGTGTGTCATGTTCAGTGCTTATATTATAAATGTGAAAATGATAAAGATGAAATAGTAATCATTGAAAATGGAAGAGCTGAACAACAACCATTGATGGTACCAGAAAACGGAACGATGCAATATAATTCAATCCAAATCGCAGAGAACAAATTAGATACAAGGGAAGCGCGACTATCTGGAATTCGACAAGCAAAATATTTTACTTTGTTTTTGCTTTGGATTTTGGGATTCGGCTTTGCGCAATTATTTGGTGTCATCCTATTAAAAGTAAAGATTTTATTTAAGCTTAGAAGTTTGGATTACGTTACTTCTTTAGATAAAATCACATTCAAATTCACAGAACTTAGGTAAAAACGGGATCTCGTGGCCTACGCATTTATTAGGAGTTTGTCCTGCTTTTTTTACTTTAAGCGGTTACATACCACAATATATTGAAATTTATTGTAAGTAGTGACATTCTTGAGACTATTTTAAGTTAAAAAGGAAATCATTAATCTTAAATCGAATACTCGAAATTTTTTCATGTAGATTCGAGAATTGTACAAAGCATATCTATACTGGCCCTAAATTTGGATATAACGGTATATCAAAAAATAAATACCTCGTTTGCATTTATGAAATAATATTAACAATTCTCAATACTTCAAGGGTTCATGCTTTTGTATTTTAACACTCGGTATGTAACACATCACATTTATAACTTTATTTAATGCGCGCGTCACACACTTATAACTAATTTTGATCTGTGTTTTGCGTAAAAAGTTTTTGGACCATCCCCATTCAATTTCCTCGCCGCGTTCATTTATTCCTTGACGATAGTTTGCGATGTTGGGATTGTGATTCTTTCTTTTATACTTTCACCGGCCAACAATGCGAGGATCAATATTTAATTGATAAACAACTCGATTATATAATTAAATTAGACACAATTTTGTTCTATTTTACCCCCCCCCAAACTCGTTAATACATGTACATGTAGATTATTTTCCTAGTGAAAATCAAAAAATTTACGCACATACGTAATCATTAAAATCTACATTGACCCACAGCTCGTGGAAACGCCACGACATCACGGATATTATCAATTCCGGTGACGAATTGTAAATAACGATCAAATCCAATCCCAAAACCACCATGAGGCACACTCCCATATTTTCTTAAATCTAAATACCATTGATATTCGTCGACATTCAAACCTTTCTCTATCATCTGGGATTCAAGTTGTTCATACCTTTCTTCACGTAAGCTACCGCCCACAAGTTCACCGATTTTCGGAACTAACAAATCAAAGCACGCAACAGTTTCTCCATCATTATTCATACGCATATAAAATGGTTTAATTGATTTTGGATAATCAGTGATAAACACAGGCGCTCGACAATGCTCATTTGCCAAAAATTTTTCATGTTCACTTTTGAGCGTAGTTCCGTATTTTGGTGTGAACTCGAATTTTCGTTTCGAATTTGACAGAATATTGATAGCTTCTGTGTATGTCATTCGTGTAAACTGAGCTCCATTCAACGATTCAAGACGACTTATTAAATGTGCATCTATCCATTTCCTAAAAAAGTCAATATCGGTCGATAGGCTTTCCAAAATGTGTGTAGTCGTAGAACGAATACATTCTTCAGTAAATTCTAAAAGATCAGCTAATTGTGTTAGGAATGCTATTTCTGCTTCGTGCATCCAGAATTCAGCTAAATGTCTTGAGGTGACAGATTCTTCAGCCCGGAATACAGGGCCAAATGTGTATACACGTGATAGAGACGATGCCATAATTTCTGCGTGAAGTTGACCTGACACGGTCAAATATACCGGCTTATCAAAATACTCTAAATTATTTCCGCTAGAATTACATGCAGTAGGCCTCACTGGTTGATGACTCGTGGATATTTTAAAAACTTTGCTTCCTCCTTCGCAATCTGATGCAGTCAAAATTGGTGTATGCACGCGTAGAAATTCATTTTTCTGAAATAGACAAACAATCAAATGAATCGTTAAAATTATGACATAAAAAAATGATATTGTTTTTTACTTGAAAGAAATTTTCGAATCCAGTTATTGCACAATTTCTAACTCGTGCCAATGCGGAGAATGTATTTGATCTTGGACGAAGATGTGATATTTCTCTCAAGTAATCGAAACTATGATGTTTCTTTTGTAAGGGATACGTCTAAAAAACATTTACTAGAATTAATAAGTTTAACCGCATTGTTCCCTTAGAATAAATATTAAAACATACAGCCGCATCACATTTTCCCAATATTTCGACTTGGTCCACTTGCAATTCTCTGTTTTGTTCACTACCGATACTTTCCACAAGTCGTCCTCGCAATTTAACCGAAGTTCCTGTGGTTAACCTTTATTATAATTGAATTAAAAAATTTTCACTAGCATGATAAAAAAAATAATTATATGCACTCAATATGAAATCATACTCTTTAGCTTGTTCCTTGGTGAGAATCGCTTGGATTCCACGAAAACTTAAACCATCATTAATTTCGGCAAATGAAACATTTTTTTGCACCCGTACGGATTTCACCCATCCATGTATTTCAATATCAGCATCAGTAGATGTTGTATTAACGATGCACTTTATTGATTTTGTCAAAAGAGATCTGCGTGAGCGGCTAATTTCCCTTGAGAATACATTATTAAGGCTGTAGATAAATTTTATAAATTTTGAAAGATTTAATAGTAGCAAATAAAAATCTATAAAGATGGTAGCATCTTCAAACCAAAATATGATATACAATTTACTTTATGATTATTTACCGAAAATTGGATAAAATCATGGATTATTTTCTGAGTAACATGTACGTAGTTCCGGAAAAAAATTTATATCTACAAACGATATCTTTGATCTTTCTGCATGTGTGACAAATAAACAAACAGCACAGCGATAGCTTTTAATTTCGATTTTTGAGATTTTTTACATACAAGTTCATGTATTTCGAAATCATATAATAAGGTAGGTTCTTTATGCACAGAGGAATCTTCGTCTCTTTTGTCACAAGATTTATTAAAGATGATAAAACTCAAGATATTTAAACATGATTTTACCATGATTTATCACCAAATCACCTAACTTATGCATCATTCAAAAGCAACATTAAAGTCTAACGAACTGATTCAATATAAAAAGACACACTGCACAGTTTCCGATAGTCACTTTGATAATATTGTGTTATCAATCAGTTTTTAAATTTTCGAAAACATTACTCACTTTTTTTCGTTCTGTAAGAAACTAAAAGATTTAATAATTAATCATTGAGGTGCGAATCTTTTATCGAAATATTTGTTGATATTGAATTTTTATCATTAAAATTGATTCGAAAAGTGAACAAATTTTTATCTTTTCTAAAGTTAAAATGTCAGAAGTGAATTCAATTTCGGAAGACAAAAGCTCACTCAGTGACTCACAAGCTGAGCCTTTCTCACCTAGCACTACCCCATCTTTGAAACCTAATTCTCAAATTGCTTCACGCTCTATTGAAACTAACGAGCGATACGAACGTGAAAAGAATCAAATTGCAACGGAACGCGAATCTTTAAACGATGTTCAAGTTTACCTTAATAATCTAAGGGTAAAAAAATCAAGAAACTGTTCTTAATTCAAGCATTTTAGAATCTAATTTTTATTTCTATTGCAATCACAGGAACATTCATCAAATAAGGATAAGCCTTTTGCCGATCCGAAACTAGAAAATATTCTTGCACCGCCAGGAACGAATCTTTTATTAGCACACATGCAGAGTCTAAGTTGGGAGCAAAAATATGATGCAAAACGAGAATATCCTTTCGCGTCAGGAATTCATTATTATGCGCCATCACCTTTAGGATATTTCACTACATATACTGATGTTAGCAATATTGCTGAGAATGGAACAAGATTAAATGTCTCGTCGATAGATCCGAAATTTTCATGTTTGGATCCGACTTGTCCACAGTGTCGTTATGAGTATCTTATGACAAATCAATCATTCAATCCTTCTTCAGTTTACGGGGCTTTCCCTGGCAATTTGCCATATCCTCAGCAAAACAATACAATCGGTAATATCTCATCGCCATTGTATCCTTCCTCTCAATCATCTGCGACAAATGGTGGTGTTATCAAGCAAGAATTCACTGCTTCTGATATCACATCTCAAGAAGCTTCTTCGTCACATTCGCAGTATTCTGGTGCTGCAATTAAGAAGAATTTTAATAATACAGAAATTCAAGATCTAATAAAAAGAGCAAAGACAGAATGCAATGAATGCACAAATACAATCAGAAGAAGGCGAACACGTAGTAGATCTAACAAATTATCTTCTGACGTCAAGAAATCACACACTATTTCTAAATCATCAACTCCAGCACCAGCTCCTGTCACTTTTGACGAAGAAGGTCCTAGGACAAAGACGGGAGAACTACTAAGATGCAACAATTGCGGTGCAACTGAAACCCCTGCATGGCGTCGTGATGCGGAAGGAGTCAATTTACTCTGTAATGCTTGTGGATTATAGTATGTATTCATATGATTTATTGTTATTTAATAATGTTTAACCGGAATTTTTACTTTTTAGTTTGAAAATAAAAGGACGTCATCGTCCAATAGAGGTTGGTCCCGATGGCGAAATTCGTCTTGTAAAGTCAGAAAGACGTAATAATACAAATAAATGTGAGGATTGTGGCGTCGCTAACATTAAATTTTATAAAGGATCTGATGGTCGTCGACTTTGTAAGTACATGCATAAATGACTATATTGTAATATATTTTATCAATTAATCAATTGATTTTATAGGCAATCGATGCGTTCGTAAAGAAAAAACTACTCTGCCGCAATCAAAGGCATCAATGACGTCTCGTGCTTCTTCCGAATCCAATGAAGAATCTCTTCGTTATCATCCATACTAGCTTAATAGTAAATTATTTTGAGATTCAAGATGAGTAGATTATCAGTTGATTTCATCTTTTTTTTTCTTATACTGTGCATTATGCTATTGATGAAGAAAATACGATTTTAAAAATTTTTTTATTAATAAAGTTATTACTTATTGTCTATAATAAATGATTTTTTCCTATAAATATAATAATGGAACACCGACATTGTTGGCGACTTGATTATCAGCTGTGTGTGTATATTAATCAGCTTAGCCTTTATATTACTATTAGTGGCAATTATAAGAAAAATTTAACATTTTCGCCATTGCTTACAAATACTATTATTCTGTAATAACTGTATGCTCATGCTCCTGAGTTTGAGGATTAATCAATTGAACTTTTTGTTTCTTTAATCCCGGCGGAATATGAGAGCCACTAGTGTGCTCAAAATCTTTTATATTTTTTTGATCTTCCAACGAGAGACTATTCGCTTGTGTGTCATCTCCGCTGTATTCCGATGTCTGTGACGTTTGAGTCGTACCTTTTGGCAATTCTTCCAATTTCTTTTCGGAAATGTACCCCAATCCAGGGACGTACGTACTACTTCTTATATGGGGACGGCGCAATTTATTCTTTTGCGGTGTTCCAGTTGTTGTGGACGTGTCGGTGACAGTGGCATCTGGCTCATTGTCATCACTCGTTAATTCAGCTGTTGATGGAAAGAATTTAGAGCCGTCGAGTGCACCAAGATCGACCATAAAATGATCGCCAGTGTCCGATAAAAGGTCAGACGTGTCAACATCGTTACGACGAATAATGGGAGTTGAATGAGTTATAGTGAGAGTCCAAAGGAAAACAAAGATTCGAAAAATTTTTATGCCGAACTTTCGATTCATTTGAACAGATAATTTTGATTTGTTCGAAATTTTTAACATTACTCTTAAAAGGAATATTGAATTTATAACACGTATAATACAAAGCCCAGAAATAAAATAGCTAATAATCATTTAATCAATAAACTCAGATTTCGATGCATTTAAAACATTTGATTCATCAAGCATTGCGATTAAAATAACAAAATTAGCAATGAAATTCATACACTTCGCTATATGAAAGAATGTTGCTCAAGCTCACCTATGTTGTAACCTTTTCTATATGAACATTGTGATTGATTTATAACTTTTAAATTATTTAAAGAATGAATTTAATTCTGGAATTACTGCATAGTATACTTATAACGTATGTTAATTAATAATTTTAAAAGAAAAGTCTCAATAAATGCTAACTAGATATTCAGAACAATCATAAAAGAAATTAAACAGGTAGAAAAAGTCATTAAAAGAATAATGGGGGATAAATTCAATGCTAGAATATCGGCACTATTCTTTAGGATTTGTGCAATAGCACTGCCCGAGTTAGTCTTTGAAGGATTAGAGCCTGATCCAGTAGTGCCATCCGCGCTATCAGTGCTACTGCCCGAGTTAGTCTTTGAAGGGTTAGAACTTGATCCAGTAATGCTTGGAGGATTGCTTGGATCATAAAACGCAATATTCAACTGGAATTGTAGTTGGTTTGAGGATGGATTCGTCACTGCAATACAAAGATTTTGTAGTCCACCAGCTACTTTGCCTGATTTCGTACAATTTGTCACCGGAACAACTGGCTTATACGACCAACATGAAAGACTTGGATAATAGTCAGACATCTGAAGTAATGGATCAATATAATTTTGCATGCTAATGTTGTTTGCTAAAACAACAATGAACCCAGGCGCTTCTGATTTATAAAGGTTATTTGGTTCTGTGTAACCGGTATCTTTCGTAGTTTTTGTCCCATCTGTCAATACAACCGAAAACGCTAAATAAAAAAGTTTAGTATTTAATTATTTCTTGAAGTGAAAATAATATTTATGATATCAAAGTCTACTTACCAACACTTTGTGAGGTTCCTTTTTCACATCCATACCATGTTGTACTAGCATCCAAATTTACTACTGCATCATAATTTTCTGCATTAACGAAAACAGGCTAATAACAAAAAAACAAAAGTTTGTATTTTATAATAAAAAATTAAAGTCATTTAATCGTAAAAATTAATCACTTGTAAAATTCCCAAGAAAAGGATGAATAAACCAAATTTTATATAGAAAACCGAATCCATTCGTGACTTTGATTGAATTTCCATACACGTTATTATTTGATTATTATAAGTTTAAAGAACAACAAAAAATGACAATTCTTTCGTGGCAATTCGAAGTTTATATTTATCGAAAAAACCGTGCAAGTTGCTGCATGGTTCAAGACAAAAGATTTATGTCATGTACAAGGCAACACATGAATTATTGCACAATATGTTCTCTTTATTACATTACCAAAAAAATACTACGCTTATTAAATGTATATTTTTTTGGCAAATATCCAATGTATCACTAATTACAAATTACATGTACATGTACATGTAATAACAACAAATCAAATTTATCGTTATACAGAAAAACTCCAAAAAAAGATCTTTTATTATATTGGTTCACTAAAAGAACAGAAATTTTTATTTGATATTAGTATTGAATAAAATTTATACATGTATATTATGTTTTGTTAGTTATGAATTAATTTATTGTTCAGTTAACAGTTTAGCGTTAGATTATAAAATACATTAAACCTACACCTGCCTGACTGGACAAGATCATCTGAAAATGATCGACAATGATTAAACGCGCGATTTTGTAGCACAACCAATGATAATTCTAATATATCTTTTTTAAAAAATCGGTCCAGTAGAACTCTGTGATCACTTTTGTGTTTTTACTATATTCAACTGATATTTTTAAGAGAATTTACATATTAACAGTAAATAAAATTTATATGATTAGAATCAGCAAAACCTGCTCTATTTAATGATATATTTAAATTTTCTAGATAATTTTTATTATGAGCCATGATCAATTTGTTTATGTATATGATTATTTAATATTTCAGATCTATTGGAATGTGAGGTTAAAGTAATTTGATCTTGATTTTTTATGTTTTTATTACATTATCGACTATGAATTTAGTTATCTTAATATTTTACTGATTTACTTATTGTTTTTTTGCCTTTTTTATAAATTAATAATTTTATCATATTCAAAATCTGTAAGTTCTAATTTTTTAGATATTATTTAGAAATAATTCTTTTAGAAAAATAAAAAAATATATTTATAAATGCAAAAATCAAGACGAATTTAATAAAAAAAAGGTCAAAGAATTTAAATAGATAATTATGCAAATAGATATAAGCATTCTATTTGTAATAATTTTGATTGGATTATTTTCTTTTTAGTTTAGATCTTTATTTTAAACTCTTTATATTACATTTATTAGTTTGTATTACTTTTATAAAATCAATTTCACTCTGAATATATAGATGATTATTATGCATTAAATTAATTTAGATTAATATATATTATTATATAAAATAATCACTATATATTTTCTAATTATTAATTTAGATAATTAATATTTTTAATTAATATTCTTTTAATATTTCTTTTATATTTTTATTTATATTATTATTATAGTATATTATTATTTATTCTTATTAATTTATTAAGTTAAGTATAACTTGCTTTCTGAAAATATAATCTAAGATAATTAATTTCTTTAATTATATAAAAATTATATATAATTTAGAATTATTAATTTATTCATATTTCATATTTATTTTATTTTATATAAATAAATTATTTTATTTATAATTATAAACAAATAATTTTATTACTTGATAGAAATAAATAAGATTATTGTAATATAATATTACATACTTATATTATAATATATATATATTTTATATATATTACCTGTTATAAATAATAAAAATTAAATATTATATAAACTATATATAGAAAACTTCTGATTATATTTAGCTAGTATAATTAAAATTTAATAATAATTTATTTATTAACAGATCTAAAAAATAAACTTTAAAAAGAAAGTAAAATATATTTAATTTCTCCCATTATTTTATTGCTAAATAAAAAAAATTTTGCTTGCTAATTGACAAAGAATTATAAGTAAGCTTTGATATTATGATATTTAAAATACTCAAATTTTAATACTATTAAGTGATATTCTTTTTTCTATAATATATAAATAAATCAAATAATTAAAAAAAATGATAATCTTAAATATATTTTCTATTTTAAATATTCAAGAATTTCAACTTCTCTAAATAAATATATATTAAAAAGAATAATTTAAAATAATTAATATTTTATATATAGAAAAATTATGGTTATCATAGTGATATAAAATTCCTTAATTCCTTAATCTTTTCTTAGTTATACAAAATTATATATTTCTATATTTTTCATTTATTTTATAAATATTCTTATTTCTATATCATATATTACTATATTATTATATTTTTATTTTTTTAACATTATATCTTATTTAATATTTAGGATTTATATTTTTATTATCTTGTAATATGATATTCATGTACATAGTAAAATAGTTTAGTAAAAGATCATTTTTAATTTTAATGAAACAGTTACACTTGAATGATGATCTCAAATATCTTTTCTCATCCTTTGATATCCTTCAATATTCTTTCACATCTTTCTACATCTTCTCACATCTTTTCACATCTTTCAACATCCTTTTATATACTCTGACATTCTTCAATGTTCTTTGACATCTTTCAATATACTTTGATTTAACTCATTCATAATTAATATACAAGACAAACTCAATAAGATGAAAATTAAGGATAAAGATAATTTATTCAGCTTATCAAAATTTTTATTTTACTAAATTTTGCACAAAGCTGAATTTATATATAATAAAAAATTTAGTAAATCAGAAAAACTTCAGCTTAATGCAATTTTGGCTTAGTGTGACTTTATCTTAATAAGTTTATCATGTACTATAGTATTTTAAAATATATCTTATATATTATATAGTATTAGCTAGTAATACTATAATAATTTTTGTATCTGAAAAATATATAAAAGGATCTGCTATCCTAGCTTGAAATAAATAGTTTTAGAAAATATAATTGTAAAAGATTACTTTTTTTAATTATACTAGTACTCTTTCTTTTACTTAGTTTTATTTCTTTAACTATATAAAGTTGATTTTGAATTTTTGGATTATAATATTATATTAATTTTTGATTTTTGATATTATTTTGAGAGTAAAAGATCTCTAATATAAATAAGTCACACTTTTTGTTTTATTATTTTTGAGAGTAGAAGACCTCTACTATAAATAAGCTATATTTATTTTATTTATTTAGTTATTTAATTTACATATTTTATTTCTATCTTTACTTTAGTTATAGTCTTCTTTGATTAATAGCTTGCTATT